TTTTGGAAGAGGGTTGATTTTTTACTAAGAAGAGAGATAATTCTCGTCGATAAAAATTGATATTATATAAGGAATTTTTTTAGATTAGATCCTTTTAATGTCCACTATTTCGATAAAAAGGGGATGATTCAGGAGAAGTGCTTTTTCGATGTTTGATCAGTGCAATTAATTTTTATCGCTCAATCTGTTAAATTATTCGAATTAGCGTGTAAATTTTGACAAGTCTGATTCATAAATACACCATTTTGTCATATCGTTAAATACACGATAAATTTATCCATTATACTTCCTACACTTAAATTACTACTCCAAGATTAAAATACTTTATCGATTAAAATTTGCTGACCGTCCTAAAATTCTCATATTTCGCAAATACGATTATCCTTCGTCCATTTTCCGACAAACAGTCGTCGCAACAAGCCAAGCTTTCTTTCGATATCGATGGAGACTTGGCTCCGCCGGGGTGGGGGTGGAAAATTCCGATTCCCGTCGCGTGGTTGCGGCACTCGACGCGTGTCGTTTGTCGATGAAACGTGCTCTCGTTCTCTCGCCATTCAAACTCCCGTTTGATTACTCCCACTCTCGACAATTCTCGAAACGACGAAAAAGGATAAGCGGGGGCGTCTTCTCCGAGAGGAGAGCGGTCTACTTAGTCGACGTGGAGGCCGACGCGAAGTTTAATGGGCGGAAGTTTGTTGTTTCATCGGCGACGTTGTTACGCGTCGTTCGTACGCGGGGAATGAAACGAAGTAAATAAATCCTCGCGTTTAAATATATCGAATAATTAAATCGAATCTTCGTTCCTTTTCGTTCCTTTGATCGAATTGTTTGGCTGGATTTGTTGACTTTTTGTTTGGACTTTTTCGAAACGGAAAACGAAGGTTTTTTTCTTATTTCTTAATAATTGCTCGTTTGAAATTTACGCGTTTGACGTGATATCTTTCATTTGTAATACGTGTAGTATTCGAAGATTTCATACTTGAAAATATTCTCTTTTTTCATCTCGAATATTTCGAGTTTAAGATAAATCGGTTTATCTCCAATATGGAACGCGTGTAAATCCTAAAGTAAACAGAGCCATTCTTATTCCCATGGAGAATGGGATATCTGGAAAATCGATGGCCAAGCTTTCCCTTCAAATTTCTCAAGCAATCTTCACTTCCACCCGACACCCCCTAACGCGTCGATAGCAAAATAAAAAACGTCGAGTATTATCCAACAATAAGAACCTCTCTTCTTTCGATCCCACCCCCCTCGAAACAGGGGTGGGTGGTCGTACAATCCCTGAGAGATGGAGAGAAGGAAAGAACGAACGTCTCTCTACGCCTTATACGTCAAAAAGAAAAAGAGGAGAAGGAAAAGGAAGAAAAAGGGAATATAGACGCAGAGGAAAACGATACACAAGCGCCACGTGGCGCTCGTTCGTCCACGGAATTGTAAAAGGATTTTAAAACAAATCTCGCACGGGCGCCAGCGGGCTCTCCGAATCGAAGAACGGGATGTTCGGTGGTTTTCCACCACCCCACCCTCCCCTTCGGCACCCGTGGCTGCTGAATTTTCCATTTTCCCCGATTCTCTCACTTTCCCTTCCCTTCACCCACACTCCTTCCGTTTCTTCCCTCTTCGACTTTCCCTCTTCCTCCACCCTCTCCCTCCCTTCCTCTCCCTCCCTTCTTCTCGTTTAACGAAAACTGCGGAGGATCGACCCCCTCCTCTTCTGTCCTTCTCTCTCTCTCTCTCCTTTCTCTTCGACCTTCTTCCTCTCTCTCTCTCTCTCTCTCTCTGTCTCAACGTCTCATCCCCTTTCCCTCCGGTTCGCACCGTCTCCCTCCCCCCACGGGTGGCTCTTCCTCTCTTCAGGGTGTACAGGGGGCGAACAGAGGATGTGGATGGGTTGGGTCTCGCCTCGGCTGGGCGAGCGCTCAATAACGTGCGAACCTAAAGGGGAGGAAATACGGGGGTGCGCGGCGTACCTACAGGAATGAAGTGGAACGCCGTAGAATGGTGGAATACTGCGGTACACGCGCCGGCATTCCTCTTGTCTTCTCCCCTCCTCCTTCCATTCTTCTCTTTCTCCTTCTTTCTTTTCTTTCTTTTCTTTTTTTTTCCCCTTCTCTTCTTCTCTCCCTTTAACCGGGCGGGAGAGCAGAGCCCCCCCTTTTCNGTTTCTCGCCCCTGTCGTTTCCTCTCGCTTCTTACGTGCGGAACGAGCCGCAACTTATCCATCATAATCGTTTTACGTGCATGAGCGCGGGGACTTTCACTTTGCCTCCTCTCTCTCTCTCTCTCTCTCTCCTTCTCTCGTTACCACCGATGTCCCGTTGTCTCTCGCTTTCGGCCCAATTCGTTCGTTCGTTCTCTTGGATTTCTTGGAAATATTGCCTGTTTTTACCGGATGGAATAAGGATCGGCAGATGGGTTTTTCTTTTTATACGGGTTTGACGTCTCTTTTTCGAAGATGAATGGATCGTTTATTATATTAGCTCTTTGTTCGAAAACTTTGTTACATTGGGATGGAAAATGATCGTTTACGAGTTCATTGTCATCAATTGTCGCGAATCATTCAAAGTGTTCCACTTCCACCAAAAATTAATTACACCCTAATTCTTTAATGTTTCCTCGAACCTTCAAATCCTCGACCCGAAATTATTTTCTCCGTCGATTCAAAAACGAATCGAACAGTATCGTTTGCGACCTCCAAGAGAAATTTAAACAAAAAAGCACGTTTCGTTCGAATTGCAGGCGTGATATCGGCGGGCGTCTCTGTGCCTGTCCAGATCCCGTCTCAGACTCCAGACCTGACAGGCAACTATTGGCCGAGGCTCCAGTGATCCCAGCTCTTCGGGTTCCCGCCCGCGAGCCTGCTCGTCGGC